CTCAAGTGCATGATAAGAGAGCCAAATTCGACGAGCAATTGACACAAAGCTGCATATCCCGAATAATAATTGGAGTTTAGTTAGATTAGTGGAGCGTATCAGGAATAGTAAGATCACAAAGCACGACCTCGGCAATCCCAAGCACATATCTGTGAGCGAGAAGGACAGCAGCAAAATGGGGCAAATGCTAGAGGATGGGCAATTGGCATCGCTCGGCAAACGTTATTCATTATCACGAGTGGTCAATAACGAAAAAGCACATTGAACGGGCATGGAGGCATGGACGTGAAAAAATAATGGACTCCGCAAACCAACATCTACGGCAAAGATTGTGTTGGAGTCAACAAATTCGAAGGCATACGGCTTATGGGGAAAGAGGAGACTTGCGATAGATTGTCACATTCCCTCTACCGATAGTGGCGCACACGATTCATATAATTGGGTGACGATAGAAACAAAAATAAGTGATATTCTATATACTTATGGAAACTTCCAAGATAGATGTAACATTTTCATGAATCATATAATTCATTATGAGTTTCAGTGTCGGCCGTAGATTTTTGGAATTTTTCCGATGATAGTCATCGGATATTTCATTATTATTATGTTTCTGGTGTAGTTCCAGTAAGTTACTATATACAGTGTCACTCATAAAGTTCGCGACATATGTAAGTTTTTTTATTAATAGATATAATGAAAATTTTACTTCGCAGTTAGATTGTGCTTCTGTTAACCTGTCAAATTTGACAGGTTAACAGTAGCTCAAAAAATCAGTTTTTTTTGTAAATTTCGAAAAATACCAAAGAAAACAGTTCTAATTTCATACCGATGCCCAAAATTGGGACTCCCTTCTGTCACTCCGACTTTTTTTCAATTTTTTTTCCGAATTTCTGGCTCTATTGATTCAAACGAAACATGATTCAAATTTAATGATTTTGATAAATACGAAACCTAAATGTCATATCTTGCCCAGACAAAACCCGCAATGCTTTTCACATATAGTCAGTGGGCATACTTGAAGATACTTGGCGATACAACTGCCGCAATAGATTTTCAATTATTGGAACAAACTTGCAGATCAGTTTCGGGCTGTTTGGCCACTTGTTAATGCAAGGTAGGTAGGTTATCATCAACATAAAGTCGATGATTTCCGATCATTGAAAATTGAATTCCTTCAGAATAGGTATCATTTCTCGAACTAGGATGAAGCGGACAACAAACAACATATTTTTCATCGCCCCATCTGCCTGAGATCGAGGTAACCAACCGCATATCCGAAATTTTTCTCGCTACCTCGTTCACTTTAGTACCGTGGGAAAGATATTGAGAACATTCAAAGAAACTGGCTCTGTGGACAATCGTTTCAAGAAAGCACATAATCCAATAAATTACATTGAAGAACAAAAACTCAATGTTTTTTTGGCCGTTGTTGAAAATGGAAAAACCAATATTACGTGTATTATTGAAGATATACAGGTTGGCAGAGAAATTGTGAGAATTGGCCGCGGTGGTAGTGCGCCCGACTCACGATCGGAAGACCGTGGGTTCGATTCCTGCCTCGACCAGATATTTTTCTCGAGAGAACTTATCTGGTTGAAGCTGGGATGATTCTGCAACCGTGTTAGGAATCACGCGTTAAAAGGTAAGACCTCGTTAGTCCTTAGCTCGCGTAAGTTTCGCAACTTCTGAGAGTTGTCGTTCGTATGGGGGATTTTAAAACAGATTTCTTTAAATTCTGCATAAAAATAAATTCCATCCCTATAAAAGTTCATACACACTCTTAAAGAAAGATATTTCGATATTCGAGTAGGATTTTCATTTTGGTTCCACGGTGAGAGAGAAAATGATATCGCATTTCCCTACAGGATTTTATGAACAGACGAGGCAACTTACACGTCGAACGGAACAGTTAGTTATCATAATTGTCGCTGGTGGTCCAACAATAATCTAAGTTTCGTAACAGAATGTCGTGACCAATATTCATTCAAGACAAATGTCTGGGTTATTACATAACCAAATGATTTGACCATATTTTTTAGGGAAAATTCAAACGCAGACATGAACAGAAATTTTATTATGAATCAGTTGTCTGAAGCTTTCGATAATCTGCTTTCGTGTTAGACGAAATTTGTGGTATCAGCCTGACGGGCCACCGATTCACCAAACGGTAGAGGTAAAATACTGTCTCAGTTAGATGTTCAGGTGCAAAGTGATAGGACGGGATTGGGAAGATTATTGGCCACCCAGATCACCAGACTTATCTCCGATGGACTTTTTTCTGTAGGATTATCTTGAGCAAAAAGTGTATAAGCACAGACCATTTGCAAACAAAGGAACATTTAGAGAATACCATTCGGGGAGTGTTGTGCTAACAAAAATCCCCTATTTATTAAAAAATGCCACAAAGTCTGTGAATGAAAGGACTATAATTTGTATAAAACGAGTTCTTCATTAGATTACTGAGATAAATCAATGAATGTTAGGATGCTTTATTGTGAATTTGGTAATACTTATTTTGGTTTATTGTTATTCACACATCTGATGGTGGAAATAAAGAATATGAAATTTATGAAATCAACTCAAGAAGTGTTATTATTGTTCGATAACTACATCCAACAGTTTACATCCAACAGTCCCACTGTTGGCTATAAACTGCATCAAAATATTTCGAACCCATCTGCAGCTAATGGGATACAAATTTGCTAAAAAAAATAATATGAGTTTAATAACTATAGAAATACGTTTATTCGATTACTGACATATTAACGTCCATACATGGAAAATCCGAATCATAAAGTGAAAAAACTAGATGAACTTTGCAACAACAAAGACGAATTTCTGGAGGTGTATTTATTTCTTTTTCTGGTGACAGGTCAATGCGGGTATTTTCTGGGCAAGATATGGCATTGAAGTCTCGTATTCATCAAAATTATGAAATTTGAATCATATTTCGTTCGAATCGATAGAACATTGGAAAAAACATTGAAGTGACAGTAGAGTCCCAATTTTGAGCAAGGGTATGAAATCGGAAACTGAGCAACTTATTTCTTTGACATTTTTCGAAATTTCGAAAAAAGATTTTCTAAAGAATGTCAAATTTGACAGGATTAGAGTAGCACATGACAAGAGAAAAGAGGTTATTTTTTACTAATTTTTCAAGTACAAATTAAATGTCAGAAGTTGAATTTTCATTATATCTATTAATAAAATAAACTTCCATATGTCACGATCTTTATGAGTGGCAATGTATATATCCTGAGATTATCAATGTCAGTTTCCTTATTCATACAATCAGAAGACTAATTGACAAAGGCGTTCGGAAATATTTTTTCTGTGTGTAAAACTTTGATGTTTGTTTGAGGGTGGTTGACAGTGTTTCATGGTCATCACCGGAAGACGATTGTAGATACTAACAATCGAAACGTCGTGAAGTAATTTGGCTTGAAATCTGTCAATTTACAATTTTCATTTCTTTTTGATTAATTAATTTTCAATCTCAGTTTTTTTTGCTTAATATATTTGTTATTTTATTGATTCTTTCAGGGATTTTAAATCTTTCTATATCATATTAGACAATGGAATTCCGAACTGATGAAATAAAACTTTGATATTAGAGTAATTTGATTTATGTACCTACTGTTTCTACAGAGTATTGTGCTAATGCACATGATTTCTTATTAAGCTTTATATCACTTTTATGTGATGTTATTCTGTCATTAGAAATTCTAGATGCTGATGTTTTGTTGAAAAATCTGTTGAAGCCTGTTTTTCCGTTAACTATGATTCCTAACACGGGTTGGACGATATAGTAAGTGAAAATCGATCGTCCGGCCTTCCGGTTCGAACCACCGCTTCGCACATCGGTCAATTGACTAAGTGGAGCTGACTACACACGACAACTCAACAGGCTACTGTCTTTCCAAATCTAAGTAATCCAAATTGTAATTGTTACAAGGAGTGTTATAAATTACATTTGACTTTTTTGTAGTATCGTTTTATCTTTCAATTTAGTATTCAAATTCTTTATAGTTTTAATATTTTTCTGGCATATTTTGATATTTTGTTCATTATGAAAAAGTTTTATGATATTTGAAGATAAATTTCCAACATTATGTATGGATTTTAAGAAAAATTGATAGGTGAATCATCATTACATGAATTTCTTTTGATTATATCAGAATTAGTATCACTGCCAGTATTCAAAAAAATGTTCGATTAATTTATCTTTAAGAATTCTGAGTTTTTTTTGCTTGAGGGGATGATGTAATAATTTTTATATTCTTTTTTTCAAACAGAAGACTGAATTGAATTCAACTGATTTTTTATGAAAATAATAGTAATTGATATATCTTCTTGAATCAGTAGGTTCGATATACCAATCAGTGATCAAGGAAACATCAGTTTTACGAATAACTTTTGTATCAAGAAAAGGAATGGTATGATTATTCTTTATTCCCATAGTGAATCTAAATTTTCGATCGTGTCTATTGACAACATGAAGAATTTCATGGAATTTGTCATAAGGTATTGTTGTTGATACCAACCACAAAAACAATTCTTGTATAGAGAGTTTGAGTGAATAATTCTCAGGAAATGATAGAAATATTTCAGAAGTATACATCTATGTTAACTTCTGATGAATTCATTTTGAAATGTGTTGTTCCATAATCTTCTCTAGTCACTGTTTCACATAGGAGGTGTTGACAAAAAAAGTTGACGTCATACTTCGTTCTCATTTGAATTATCTGTCATGAGAATTCAATTAGACTCGCTATTTTGGAAACCATTGTTTATTATGAATATACGCCATTCAAAATACCTTTTCCAACTATACACATTTTTTTGTGTTGTATGAATGAGCTGTCATCAATTTGAGTTATTATTCGAATTACCCCAATAAATGAGAAACATTTCGGAGAGTTCAAATGCTCTCATCTTCTTTCCCCAGTCATCTAAATCAAAACTGAATTGATATGCATGAAGCACTACAATGTACTCACTTAATATCTCTATAGAGTGTATCAGGTCCCCTTGGGAGCCGTCTCCAATTTGACAAGTATAGTCCCCTTGATCAGCGTGTCGGATGTCTTTCAGTTGTAGATTGTATCCTATGAGGGAAATCCTAGGATCCATGGTGATTATTTGCTGGCCGGCGCTTAGCAGAGTTGTGCCCCTTTTCCATACTATCACAAACGGACCTGAAACAACAGTGTTCATGTAAGACAGAGAGATCAGGTTATATTTTTTTATCGAAATGTACATTTCTTAAAGTTATATATCATGAAAATCAATTCACTTTTGCTTCGAAGTCCGAATTTAGAGTTGCGATTTCGACATTCTTCCATATCCTCTGTTCCACTATCACTGTCGTCATTTAATTCAATAATGAATTTATTTTCTTAATTAATATGGAAGTGTTCAATCTCCATATAATGTGTTTCAACTAAAATTACTTTTTTACTCCTATTCTGCCAGTCTGCTTCGGTAATATTAGATACTTCTTCTTTAATTAGCTCTATTACCTTCTCATCAAATTTTATTTGCAGGCATGTCAGGCGTACACATTCTCGAACCGTCAGTCCACCCTATCATAACTGTGTCGTGAGTGTCATACCAAGTTTCGCCCAAATAGAAAATTTGCCGTTGTTCTTGTCTATATTAAGTAATGTGTTCTAAGTATTTGTTGCTCAATTCTACTATTCTTCTGCTTTCCATAACTGCTTGACGTTTGTTTATTATTTTAAATCTAAATCCTTGTTTTTTTATCCAACTCTGGAGATTTTTGTCACAGCAGCTCACGTTATGGCCGGAAGTATTCAATTTCTTCCTTATGATCTCAGTTGCAGGAATCTCATTGCTTTTGTAACAGTCGTATATTGTTTTTTCAATGATATTATTAGATGAACATCTAAAGGTTTTGGTAATCCTGTATCACATCGCGTCTTACGTTCATAAGGTTTGTTTTTGACCATTTTACGTATAGTTGGGAAAGGAATTTCGGTCAAATCTGATGTTGCTCGAAACCATACTTGAAATGTAGATTCAAATGCATCTGAACCTTATTCACTGGTACCTCTTTTCCGCATTGTTCACCATCCCTATTGGAATCACTAAAGTGGAAAAAATCTGTGTTGTTATCACACTCGTTATTACTGTTAGTACTTGTCCAAGGACGCCACATTTTAAACAGATAACAAATATTTTAAGTAATTACAACTGCACCAATATCGAATTTCAACACTCAAATCTCGATCAATTCTTGAACTGAACCCCGCATTCCCGATTTCTATTCGTCACCGTAACATGACTTTAAATTCAATTTTATGACTCTTGAGCCAATCATAAAACTCGGTTAGTAAAAATTATCAAATAAGAACCGCCAATTCTACGGTCCACGTGGACTACTTCGCAGCCGGTTCATTTTTATGTATTGGTTTTTTTGGCCTTTGAGAATGCCGACGACTTTAAGTATCGTTTGCTTCGACTATACATATCTAGTAATAGTTGAGATGACAAGTGGCTAGGTCAGATCCCTATTTCTTCTGTAAGAAATGCTTTTCATTAATCTAAAAATATTGTTATAGTTATCTTTATCTTTCATAACGATGCATTGATGTGTTCTGATTCGTTTTGAACTCAAAATCAACGAGCCATTGATATCTTCAAAGATTTTTCTTTTACTCTCGTACGTATCGTATCGTAATCGTTCCTTAGGGATATTGATCTCAAACATAAATATAAATCACTATGATAGGTATTACTGAATGAAAAAAAAAAGCAAATATTCACAAAAATGTTCCATATGTAATATACTTTGATGGCGCTATTGTCTGAAATAATTATTATTATAACAACTGGTATATACTTTCCTACAACAAGATATACACAAATATTCATTTCAGAAATAATTATAGAGATTTGGGAAATAATTTTTCTCTCAGAAACTTGTTCACTTTTGGTCCATAACGTTCAGCTGAAATTCAGCAATTTCTTTCATTATTGAATCTGAATAATACTTTGATCTTATTCATCCAATTATTTTTTCAAGATAGTGTCTATTTTTTTTGTTACTTTTATATATTTTGTATTGATTTTTGAATCTCAAAGAGAGTGCAGTCTGACAGGCCCATTTCTTCACCTTGACAAATTTTCGAATAAAAGTTAACAATGTATATAGGAAAGGTTGCGGCTTTCTACTTTTTCATGTTTATACAAAAAAAGTAGAAATATTTCGAAGAAAGTAGAAAGACAAAACCTTTCTTTCCAAAAAATTTCTTTCTCCTAAAAATATACAACTCAATAATCTTGTTGTATTCTTCTCCGCTAAGTATACTCAGAGATCTTGAAATTCAGGACTTGAATGTTTTCATCCAATATCTCCTATTCAAATTCGGCATTTTCCATAATCCACAGTCGAAATGAAAATGCATGATCCTCAGCGATGAAAGACCCATAAAAAACGCCTGCTTGTATAAAGACAAAGCGAGCCGTGGGATACGCTAACGGCTGTCATTATTTCTATTGAGGGAACTACACGAAACTGAAAGTTTGTTATGCAAATTTGAGGTGAGGTCTGGAAAACTGGAAAAGCGGCCCGGGAGGGAGAGAAAAGGCAAGTTTGCGCAACGGCTGAACAAACACAGATACAATCCCAACTGAACGCTTGTGACTGCTGAGTTCATCCCCCGACGGGAACATCGACTTTTCCAGCAACGCTGGAGGCCGCAGAGTTTCGTGTCGATGATATTCCAGGGGATAAGATTATGGAAAGTACATGTGCATGGGTGAATTCGAATGGACGTTTTTTGAATACAAAAAACAATTTTAAGTTCATTTTAGAGTGTTACTTGCAAAATATCATTCTTCAGAATGTTGCATTACTAATTGCATCGAATAACTCAAGGGATATTAACTGTTTCGTGTTTCAAATAATAACACTTATTTCACTAGACAGTCTTTA